TTCCCTTAATATACTCTTTCTGCTTCAGGATCCAATCCAAAGTACGTTGTGAGTAGTTGTCATGTTTCCACAATTTCTTCTGGACTGTGAAAGTTTTCCTTATTTTTTCATAACCTAGATGGTTTTGAAGTGTACTGCTATGCTATTTAAGATTCTTACATTTGGGTTTGAAGAATGTTTAATCAAGACTAGACTTAGGTTGTGAATATTTGGAAAGAATACCAAAGAGATAACAGGACCTTTCTGTGACATCATATCAGAGGGTTCATGATGTCCACATGACACCACAACGATGTTAACCCTCATCGTTTGGTAAAGGGTTGGTTTGCCGAATTTCCCCATTATAAAGTTACTGCTTTATTTTTCAGAATTGGGCATTTTTAAGAAAACATAGCAAGCTATATCAACGTCACAGGAGAGAGTTATGCCCTTAGCGAAACAAAACTATGGAGATGTATGAACATTTTGCTGTATTTTCATTTCAGAATAACTAAATTAGAACCATTAAACTAGGGCAATAACAGATTTTTAAAAATTGTTTCTCACAGAGCTTTTCTAATTACTGCATAATAGAGCCATTTTCTCTAGTTTTGATTCCCAGGCTCAGGGACATATGACCTCAGGGAAGTTACTTACCCTTTCTGCACCTCAGTTTCTTTATTTGTAACCTCAGAGTCTCATAAAGATAACAATCACATCTGTTCCACAGGGCTGTTTGGAAGAATGAGTGAGTCAATATTTGTAAAGTTCTTAGAAGAGCATAAAATAAATGCTCTGCCCCTTGAGGTGGGTGCAAAGGTTTAGTAATTTACTTATGGTATGCAGCAACTAAATAAAGGAAGCAGCCTGTTTTGCACTTACCCAGAATCCTGTAAGCTCTTATAATTCAACTACTATGTTTGTTGAAGAAAAAAAATAGCAAATTTTCAATGACCTGTTAAAGTTTGTTTCATAGATAAAAGTTGAGGGAGATAAAGGAAAAAATTCCTCCATGCTTTTCTGACTTTTATAAACTTTATTAAATTAATATGTGTTATGAATACAATTAGAAAACAAAATAATACATTTTTCAAGTTTAAAGAATGACTTTTATATTTCTTGTTCATTTCCCCATCAAATCCCAGAAAAAGAGTGACATTAAGAAGAGTAACCACATAAACTCTCAATTACTCATGAGTTAATCACTTTTAACAACCTTTGGGTCATATATCATTGCCTACTCTTTAATACAAATTTGAATCTCCCTTTATTTTTTTCCCAGTTTTTCTCTTAGGATCATATTGATAAACAGCAGAGTATTTTTAAAGATTACTATCTTTGTGTAATCCATTGTGTACATATTTTTCAATAAATATGATGAATAGTCTTATACCCAAATTACCTTTTTTTTGAGGAAGTGATTGAAAGTGAGACTACAAAACAATCAAATGATTCTTTTCAGCAGTAACAAAAAAAAATTTCATCAAAGTGCACCTCCTAGTAGAGTACAGATGTGCCTTCTTTTCTGACAGTCTGATACATAAAATTTATTTTATTTTAATATTCTTGTATATTCTTAATTCAGTTAATTTTTTTTAAGGTTGCAGCAGTTATTACAGTTTAAAACTGCTAAACACATTTGGGACACTTTGTATTTTGGTCTCCACTATTCAATACTCTTCTTGTCCCTTTAATTTAAGTAATCAGGAAGATGCGAGAAAGGAAATTATTGAAAAAGACCGCAGCACATATATTATCTATGGTTTTAAAAATATGCGCGGTATGGTGGTTCATGCCTATAATCCTAGCACATTGGGAGGCCGAGGCAAGAGGATTGCTTGAGCCTAGGAGTTCAAGACCTGCTTGGACAACATAGTGAGACCTCATCTCTATGAAACATGAAAAAAAACTGCCGGCAGTGATGGTACACACCTGTAGTCCCAGCTACTAAGAAGGCTGGAGTGGAAGAATTGTCTGAGGATAGGAGGTCAAGGTTGTGGTGAGCCATCATCTTGCAAACTCACTGCACTCCAGTCTGGATGACAGAGTAAGATCCTGACTCAATATATACAAGATCTGTATGTATGTGTGTCTGTATAAATATGTGTATCTATATCTACATCTATACCTATATCTATATCTATGGAGAACCAAAAAAAACCCCAAAATTTTAAAATAAAAAATTGTGTATTTACTCTTACATGTTTAAATTTCGATCACCTTCAAATACACCTATTGAGACCCTTTTCCCACTGCTCACAACAGTATTTGAACTCATCAATTTTGATGCTTTTTAGTGCTTCTGCCATTTTTTGTTTCACATCTTCCACATCATGAGGACTTTTTTCATCCAGAGAAACAAAAATAAGTTGCTTAGGACAAGATTGGGTGAATAGGGAGGTTAGAGCATGGGGTCAAGCCATTTTTGGTCAAAACCTGCCGGACACAGTGTGATGTGGATAGGTGTGCTAGTAAATCACCCATCATAAAGGGGCACTGACTCTCAAAAAAAAAAAATTCACCTGGATGAACTTAGAGACTATAATACTGAGTGATCTATCACAGAAACAAAGAACTGAGCATCTCATGTTCTCACCCATAAGCGGACCTTGAACAACTATTGTAATACTATAAGAAAAGGATTGACAGTAGTGGGAACTGTGGGGGTGGGGGGTCAGGGAGGAAGGATTGGCAGTAGTAAGAATCTGCCTGGGGAAGGGGGGGCACACCTCATCAACAAGGGTACCTGCAGAATGAACATTTGTATACCCAACACTGAACTGTACCTCACATCTTTAAAATAAAAAAAATTAAAAGAAAAAAAAAAAATTCACTGAAGCACAACGCAGCGTCTCAGAGCAACACTAGCTGGTACACTGATGCCAATGGGTTCCTAGAACATTTACTTAGTGGGGGAAACCTGTACTACAAGGGGCCCAACCCCCAAAAGAAGTTTTTTGGATCCTCCCTTCTATAAATACGCGCGCGCGCGCGCACGCGTGTGTGTGTGTGTGTGTGTGTGGTGTGTAGTATCATTCTAGTACAGCTTTCCCCCACTGCTCAAGATTATCGTAATGGCAACACAGGTTCCCCTGAACACCAGTAACCACAAGGGCATTTTGAACACTGGAGACTATGGTGTTTGTATGAACATTTTTCCTTCTGGAACTTGCCTGGATTTCTTCAGGACTCAACCTGTTCTATATGGTGCTGTATACAGTTAGGGACAGTTGGATGGTAGTAACTGATACAGACAATTTTAAATGTGAAAAAATTGGGGGTGTGGACCTTTTGTTAGAATCTTTTTCTTTATAGCAGAATTCACAGCAGGTTGAATTTCTGTTTAGGCAATATATTTCTGTTTGGGAAAAATCAATTTCCATTTTATTTATTTGACAAATATATATAAGGTGCTTCATCCATTCTGGCTCTTACAGATGTTGATTTATTTCTCACAGCCAACTTGGGCAGGCACAGAGAGGTTTAACAACTAGCAAGTGGTTCTTGGCGACGAAATGCAGGCATTGGGTTGCATGCCCCGTTATTGGGTCACGCACGGGCTTTTATTCCTTGGCTGGGCCGTGTAGATACCTGTCCTGCAGACTTTCACCCTTAGGACAGAGTGCAGCCCTTTTTCCTCTCTCCCACTCTACTCCATGTCTCAAGGAAGTCTGAATCTCACTTGGAGAATCACACTTAAGTCCCTAAAAACTAATGATGAATCAAAATAAGTTTTCTAAAACTGTAGAAAAAGCAATTAAGTCATTAGATGAAAAGACTGAAATTCCTGACATAAAACAGGACATGCCATTGTTTCTAGAGAAAGGAGGACCCCACACTGAATACTGGGAAGTCCTATAGTGAATGGAACTGCGATTTTATGTATGGACTGGGGTTTCCCATTTCCCCTATAAGCATCCTTTTGCTACTACAGGGGGACAGGCGCCTGCACACCGGGTACCCCACTTCCCCCCAAGCCCCAGCCCAGAGTCAAGCGCTTTGCTGGCCAAAGGGAGAACCTGGGAGAGTGAGCCGGGAGAGACTGCTGGACCCGGCCGGCCCGTCCGCAGGTTCGGAGTGTCAGCCAGTTCAGATTTCAGAGATCATATCTGAACTCCTCCCCCAGGGAAAAGGAGCTCTGGGGGCGGAGAGGGGGGAATTTTGGGAGTTCCAACATTTCAGAGGGAAGAAGGAAGTTATGCAGGACAGAAAGAAGAGGTCATGTGGCAGCCCTGGCTGCCTCTGAAAGTAACTCTGGGTTCAACTATGGACACGGATCCCTGTTCCCACCACAGGAGAAACAAAGAAGATATCCTCAGTGTGATGAGACAATAATCAACAGCAGGAGCAAGCGGAACATCCCATCTGGAATCCGAGATGGTGGTTGTGATTGTTGACAGAGAGCACTGATTTCAGATGTGTATGAAATATACAAAAACCCAATTTGGAGAGAAACAGAGACAAAGACAGAGGGAGGATATATACACGGAGGAAAATATACATGTAGAATAGCTAACTAAGCCCATCTCCCAGGGCCTTCTTAATCCATCTCCCACCCCCCTCAGATCTGATAACGAAGGAGCCACAACTCTCATTCTCTAGAGACGCGGTGCCCCCCACCCCCCTCGCTCCCCCCCTCGTCTTCTCTCCGCGTCCACCCCAGCTGTCTCTGGTTTCCCTGCCCTCGCCCTGGGATCACTTGGCCCCCATGCTCTCAGGCGGTAACTCAGGCTTCGACTCACGCCCCCTCCAGGGATCTGGGACAGCAGTGAATACCCCAGTCCGCTAGCCTTCCGCGGGAGGGCGAGGCTGGAACGTCGCCAGTGGGCCCCTCCCCAGAGCCTCCTCCCCCGTCCCTCTTTCCCCGGGGCGGGATCGCGCCTTCCTTTCGGGAATTTCCCGGTCGGAGGCCCCGGGCTTTCCAACCCCGCCAGGCATAAAAGGGGTTCACCGTCTCGGGAGCCGCAGAGCCCGCACCTCAGGCGCCCCCCGCTCGCCTTCCGCCCCTCTCCGCCGAGCCCATGGCCCACGCCGCGACCCCCGCCACTCCCCGCGCCCCGCGGCTGCTCTGGGCGGCGCTGCTGCTCCTGCTCCTGATGGCCGCCGGTCGGCACGTGGCAGGTGGGACCTGGGATCCCGGAGGCCCAGGCGGGGCGGGGCTCGGGTGGCCTTCTGCTGGGCCCACCTGCTCACCCAGCGCGTCTCTCCCCTGCAGGGGCGCCCGTGGTCTCCGAGCTGCGTTGCCAGTGCCTACAGAGCACGCAGGGCATCCATTCCAAGAACATCCAGAGCGTGAGGGTGACGTCCCCGGGACCCCACTGCGCCCAGACCGAAGTCATGTGAGTCCCGCCCCTGGCCTCCCGCCGCCCGGCCCGGACCCCAACCTCCCCCCGGGCTCACGCGCCCCTCTTCTCTTCGCAGAGCCACGCTCAAGAACGGGCGGGACGCCTGTCTCAACCCCGCAGCCCCCATGGTCAAGAAAATCATCCAAAGGATGCTCAACACGTGAGTGTGGGTTCCTATGGACACAGGCTACCGGAGCCGCTCGTTAGAAATACTGGCATCTGCCCCCTGAAAATTATACCAGGGAAACCTAGGAGTTAGCTGCAAGATAGAAATGGGGATTACTATTTTCACAACTACAGTTTTCATTAAGGTCATTAATCTGCTCTGCTGCAATAGCCTATTTCCAATGCCTTCCATCCCCCCCTGTTCTGGTGAATGCAGGTAAAACTACCTCTGTTAAAATTCTCGTTGATAGTTGGTCAGTTGTGCTAAAAGGCTTTCCACCTGTTAAGAAGCCAGTCATTTCCCTTCCAACTGCTTGGGCTTCAAAAAGAGAAAAGCAGACCCCTTGGTTTTTTTGTAAAAGTTTAGTGACAAAGAGCAGGATGTTACAATGACATCTCACTGAGTACAAATCCGGGATCATGTCACTCAAAGAAAATGATTCAGTTTATCTGCAACTCAGCATAATGGGGGGAAAAATAGGCTGCTCTGAGGCTTAAGTGAGGCTCTGTGTGACAGAAAGGTTCTGGCTGTTTAGCCAATAATATTACAGTAAGAGACTGCCTCTGCACTCCCAGTCCATTCCTGAACAGGAGGTCTGAAAGCCTGAGGTCTCTGCCATATAGTGCAGATGTCTCAGAAAATGACCACCTGGGGAAACTGCATCCAGAAAACTCTGGAGCCCAGGGGACAGGGCAAGAGAAGAGTGTTGGGCAGTCAGCTTTCCTGAACACTTACTAACCACAACCATTTTCTCATGATAGTGGCAACTCCAGCTAGCCAGGAGGAAGCTCATCTCAGTTCCTGAAGCAGGACCTGCCTTTATAGTAATAGAAGAGGAAAAAGAGAAAGATCTCTAGAGGTCATCTGGATTGAATTTCATGTGTTTGAACGTCTCTTGTGAGAGTTTTTCTGTTTATTTGTGTGTTTGTTCTCAAATATTCTATGTTAATATTTACATGTAAAATATTTAAGCATATGATTGAATCCAATTGCACACTACACCATTGCGCTTATTGTTTATTTTATGTTAAACCTAAGTTAGTTCAAACCTGATTTGTATTTAATTTGAGGGTAAAAGGTTTTCAGATGTTCTTTGGTCGTTATAGTGATATTTATGAGGAGCCCACGACATGCTAGCCACTGTGACAGAGGCTGGGGCATCCAAACAAATAGCCAGTGAGATCATTGTGAGGGTAAGAACATGTGTGTGCATGGCTATCTTTGTGACTGTTTAGAAGCATATTGAGTTTTTATTTATTGAAACGATTTCAGTGTGTGGTCAACATTTCTCATGTTGAAACTTTAAGAACTAAAATGTTCTAAATATCCCTTGGACATTTTATGTCTTTCTTGTAAGGCACAATGCCTTGTTTAGTGCTAATTATGCAGTGTTTCTGTGGAGAGGTTTAAATATTTATTTAAATGTTTTCACAAGGAACATGAAAATAAAGTATTTTAAAATATGTTTGTTTCATTTTTGGGGAAATAAGGGGATATGTGTGCTGGCAAATATGATGATTTATATCAATGCTTCTCAACATTTTTCTCCTCCTGAGCATTCAGTTTGCTACACAGACAAATCAAACTATTAGTTATGCTTAATTTCGTCTGGTAACAGCTGTGACTTTTCTTGGCTTTCACCTACTCAAGAAAGTGCTTCTTCAAACTCTGGGCTGCCCCTGACTTGAAAGTCACTGACCACAATGTATTGTTTTTATGAGAAGTTCCCTGCCACCTTGCTTCTCAAATTTATCTCCTTAAAAATATTTACTTTCTTATATCTATTTTAAAGCGCCCCTCATTTTATTGCTTTTGTCAAGTACTTTTTAAATACAATTGTTAACAATTTAATAAAGACAGTGGAATGGTGGGCAAATGGATTTTTTTTTCAAAATTCAAAGAATTTGTGACATCAATAGAAGCAGAAAAAGTGAGTGGTTGAATACTGAACCTGTGAAAAGGTCTAATGGAAACTTGGGTTCAACTTTCTAACCTTCACATATAAGTAACCACCACTAAGTTTAATGTTGTTTCAGTCCTTTATACTAATATGTCAAATATAATGGTTTTAAGATTTAGTTGCCTTAGTTCCTGCTGTTCCTAGTGAAATTTTTGTGGTTACAGATTATTTATCCCGAAAAAGCTCTCTGGAAGACTCTGTATTCAGTGCTCTCAGGTGACAGCAGCTCTCCAGGTTTCCAAGACAGAAACACCATTGTCAAAAGGCAGAAAGATCCCCCCCTCGAATCTAAAAAAATCAATCAATCAATCAATCACTCTCCAAGGCTGAAAGGAGGATGCTTGTGCATGTGTGGGGTGTGTACCTGCCTCTGATTCAGGATTTATGCAGGACATCCTGAGCCCTGGTTAACCACCTTTAGCACAGGTAAGAATGTGAGGTGGCAACCTCAATACTTGAGATCAAATTCCAGCTTGTCCCAAGTAGCTGGGACCTAAATAAGGGTCCTAAATAAGGGACCTAAATAAGGGTCCTAAGCAGCAAGTAACAATCTCTGTGAGTTTTTTCCCCCCACACCTAAAATAGTTAAAAACAATAATCTCTTCACAACTACAAGGTTATTAGTTCATTATAAATGAGATAAGAAGGAAGAAAATTTGTAAATTGTACAGAAATCAATAAATGCAAGCCATTCTAGAAACTTCACAAATGCTAGCATTCACTCCCTAACCCCAAGTTACAGGACACTGGGAAATGTTTAAAAGTAGCACCCCAACGACTTAATAAAGTCATACCTCATACCTGAGAGCAGTCCTTTCCCTCAAACATCAGAGCTCACAGTACTGACTACTTCGCTCTTGTGAATATGGAATATGGAACACAAAAAGGACACCTTAGATGCTTTTATTCATACGGTGGTTAAAGACAGGTTTCAGAGGACCAGGCTGACTTTAGAGTAAATTCCAGCTCGCTCACTGTGATCTCGACTTCACTCACCCCCATTTCCTCTTCTGTAAAATGGGGATCATAACAGAATACACCTTCTGAAGTGTTGCAGGGATTCAACGTTATTGATGCTTTTGGAAATCTGATTGTTTTCACTGGTACTCAGGTCAACTCCATGGCTATAAATTTCAGTCTTAGATCAAGTAGATATGTAAATTGTTGTTTTCACACCAAGTTGTTCTGACACCTTAGAAGTGTAAGGCAGTCTCCCTTTGGCGGTGTTATGGCAGGAAGTAGGACACAAGCATGTATAAAATGGTGGTCACAGGAAGAAATAAGTAAGAAAAGAATATTATGTGACGCATCACAATTTTGAGAGGCTATCAGTAGGAAATAGCAATAGCAACAGTGACTGAGGATTCCTGAGCAATGTTACCATGGGAGCTAGGGAAGGCGAGGAGGAAACATGGTAGGAGCTATTCCGTCATGGTGGTCCTGCTTTGTGAGATCTCCTGTAATACCTTCCCAGGACTTTCAGAAGTAACTGGGAGAGATTTTGCAAGTTGATATAGATGGCAGACCCCTAACAGTCCAGTGAAGGCAATCCAGAAAAACAGATAATACTGTTTTCCTTTTCTGGCTACCCATGCAAATAATAAGGAAAAGGCTTGTCCTGTTTTGACCACTGATGACCCACTCCATATTACCTCCACTTGCCAATGAGTTCAGCAGTTGCAATGGGCAATGGCTTCTCAACTGATAGTCTCTGTTCTTCTGCTTCTTTTCCTAAGGGCTTTTTCCATCTGGGGGTGGGAAAGGAGGCATGGCAGAGAGAGTTTTCTCAACTCTCAGGCAGGGTGGCCCACGACTTAATGCCTTCAATGGAGAGACAGAAGTTAATGGATGAATATTCTATTTTCCCAGTCCTTTCATTGGATGATTCTAGAAGTTTATCTATCTTTCTCTCTCTCTCCCTCTTTCTCTGAGTCTGTATTGACTGACTTCTTAGCATAGTAGTAATTTTTGATGGTTGCAGGAACTTTTTAATCTATCTTTCTATCTAGAGAGAAACTTCTAGAATATATACAGTATAGATGTATAAATAAATAAAATAAATATTTCATTTTAAAGAAATATTTTATTTTAAAATAAATAAATATAAATAAAACAAATATATAAAATACATACAATTTTTCACTTCTGTTATCATTATATTTACACTTACCTTTAAACCTCTGCACATATTTATAATAGCTATTTTTATTTATTTGTTTATTTGTTTGTGTTTTGTTTCTGAGTTGGAGTCTCACTCTGTTGTCCAGGCTAGAGTGCAATGGAATACTCATGGCCACCGCAGCCTCCATCTGCTGGGCTTAGGTGAGCCTTCTACTTCAGTCTTCCAAGTAGTTGGAACTACAGGCACTATAATAGCTATTTTTAAATGCTTATCTGCTAATTCTATTATTCTGTCATTTCTGAGTCTGTAATAATTGACTTCTTACTGTAGTAGTAATTTTTGATTGATTTCAGGAAATTTTTAATCTTCTATTGCTGAGTGTCAAAATTGTGTTTGACTTCTTTACAGTCTTGGTCTTTGACCTGGCAAGGAGTTCAGTTACTAGAGCATCAGCTTGATCTCTTTGAGGCTTGTTTTTGAGCTTGTTAGAGTGATCTAGGAGTGTTCTTTGCTCTTAGACTTGTTTAGCTGTACTTCTAAGTCATGTCTCTCCTGTGTCCCTACAGAATGTCTTGAGTGCTCACAAGTTCTCTCCATTCTGACAGGACAGACCTCAAATATCTTCCCAATCCATGGGAAGTCTGAGAAATTCTTAGCTTACAAATCTCTGGTTACTCTGCCTGACTTATGGTTTTTTTTTACCCTATTCATATGTGACTTAGTATTGCTCAGACTCAATGGGACCTCTGTGCAGATTGCTAGAGCTCTGTTTTCTTGCACAGATCTTCCTGCGACTCTTTTTCTTGACCTCTAGCCACTCCAGTTTCCCTGAGCTCAAATCTGTGCCTCCTCATTGCAGTAAGACCATCGTGCTTTGCTTGGGAGATCCCTGGCTGCAAGTGGTCCAAATTTGCTCCAGCAAAACTTCCAGGGTGAGCACGAGTCTTATCTTGTTTATTTCCTTTTCCTGGGTTTCCTTTGCTGACTGTTGTCCAATGTCTAAAACCAGTAACGTAATATCGTTTGTTGAGTTTCCTATTTGTTTACAGCAGGAAGTTAGGACTTCTCTTTTACTTCAACATGACTAGAAATGGAAGTATTGGTGGGACAATTCTGAGGAGCAATCGTCAAAGATTTTCTGAGGCTCCATGGGAAGCTTAAGCCCTGGTTGCCCACAGTGATATTTCATTCATTACGTATACTTCATTAGCTTTCCTCTTTTGCCTACCCCTTTCCCCCCACTCCCTCATGTATTCTGTGTTTATCTCCAAGATAAACAACTGCAATAAGTCTTTGTATCAGACTCTGTTTTGAGGGGAGCCCAAAGTTGGAAAATTGGGCTACCCAGAAATTAGATCTTAAAGCAAGGATTTAGGTAGCATTATTTTATTAAGGAATATAATACCAAAGAATCAGGAAGAAGGAAAATGTGAAGTGAAGCAGAAAAAGTGAAAGTTAATAGGAGAATGCACTGACTATTGTTAAGCACAGCTGAGTTGTTTTGTTTGTTCTGTTTTTACTTCCCAAGGGGCTACTACAAATGTTTGCTTTCTTATTTTGCAGACTCCATGAAGCCAGCTCAAACCAAGAAACTGGAGTTTCTGTGCTTACGTTAGAGTCATGAATCACCTAAACAACAAGGCATCAACCTCTGAT